TTTTTTTTGCCTTGATTTGAACAAAGTCCTACAATGATGTTCCATTTTTCATTTGGTGCATTGGCAAGCGTAACGTCTTTATTCAGTTTTACTAAACTCCCTTTTGTATACTTACTGTGCTTCAGATAGCTGACATGGTGCGTGATCCTCATCATTCGAATGCCGCAAGAGAAAAATGGAGACTAGCACCACTGAAAACAAGACGAACACTTGAAGTAAACCGTAAATTGGCGGATCCAGCTGTATACGTGTATATGAGCAAGGACGAGGTGATACTTTCTTAGTGGTCAAATCATGTTAAAATGGTCTTTTCCCTCTAGTTGAGAGATTTCCTAAATCGATTGTTTACTCAACGTTTAGGAACTATCGTTGTCCCGATATCGTCGTGAACTACTCGCCGATCCATGGTTACATGAAGAATTGCTCAGTCAAGAAGAAGAACCTGCACTTGCTGTTCGCACTGCTCATAATCCTTCTATTATAGCTCTTCCATCAGACATTGATGTTTTCAGCTCAGTAAGTTTTTTCATGCATAAATTTTCTTGCGTTTCTTTGCTTTTCTAAACCATCAACAAGTTCATAAGTCAGTGCAACTTCAAGTGATACCATCGTTTTTGAATGATTCGATCCTTGAGAAAATTTTGTGAAGTATTTTGTAGAGTTGAAGTCATCCCTTTTTCCGAAATATTAAAATAAGGCAAGTTAATTTCCCTTATCATATTGGCACCGCTGGTTTTTTAAATCTCATTGAAAGAAGAGAAATCATATTTTCTTTAGCCATATATAGAGGAAACCGGCAAAGACATTCAATTTTTTCTTACGTGCAATGTTGTATTGTCCAGCAGTACTTCTCAGAAGCTTGAACACCAATATTCGTAAAAGTGTCTATTAGAAACCGATCATATAGCGGTTTTGATCGCAGCGTTTTGTTGCGCGATGAATTTGCAGCAAGTAGCAAGCAATAAACCTTACAGTTCTTGTCGTTTGTTCTTTGCAAAAAGTTCCAAAGCGATTAGGAATTTGTGTTTTCAAAAACTTAAGTTGTAATTTTGTTTTTGTTGAAAAACATATTGTACTATTAAATTTCTTATATAAAAAATAATTTGAAGTTGTTGCAATCGAACGAAACAAAAAACTGGTACTTCTGAAAACTTCTTCCCAAGTACTCTCTTTCTTCAATTTCTAATTTTTCCTCGAACGCCATATATAGTCGGTTCCCAGGCGTATGCTAGGTGGAGTCAAACACGCATTGCGGCCAAGGTGAAGCGACGCGGCGGGTTGACGCCGGAGCATGATCGATGATCGATATCAGACATCGATCATG